GTACCATAGGTTCCTCGGTCACCATACTTCCAAATGCTATATCCTCAAGGATAAGCTTCAAGCCCTATATGATGCAGGAGTTGTAAAAAGGAGAAGGCTGAGGGTGAAGAGGAAGTTTGCTCAGCGGCGGCCACGTCTCAGACATCGCACTGGAGTCACAGTGACTCAGCAAGGGTGCACATGACTGAAACCTCGAGTGATCAGACAATCGCTCAAAATTTTGAAGAACATCAGGTCGCCATTGAGTCCATAAGAGACATGTTGGAGCAACTTCTGAACAAAAAGAAGAAAAAGAAGGTCACGCGTACCCCACGGAGGCCGGTGGGAGGCAAGGAATGGGAACCTACTCCTAATCAGACGACTGAATAGGAGGATAATACTAAAATCCTATCAGATCACTCTTCAAAGTCGTCGGCGGGAACGTCGCGCTCCGGGGGTTCTACCCGGGACAAGAGATTCGACGAGTTCCAAAGCTAACTCAAGGCCTTAAAGCTCCAACAAAACATGAATAAACTGCGGGTGGTCAGGTCGTACCCTATCGAGTGGGATACGGTCCCCTACCTAGCAAAATTTAAACCCATCAGTCTGGTACAATTTGATGGTAAGGGCTCCCCTTCACAACACATTTACTACTTTATGGCTCAGACCGGATTCCTCACCAGGAACGACGCCATCCTCACCCGGCTATTCATCGACACCCTCAAAGGGGTAGCCTTCGAATGGTTCCGCAAATTGGAACCAGGCTCTTTTAAGTAATGGGCCGACGAGGAAAGACTTTTCTTAGCCCATTTCTTCGATGATGATACCAAGGTGTCAATGACCACCCTCCTAGTCGAGAAGCAAAAGAAGTCAGAGTCGGTCAATGACTTCGTGAAGAGGTTCAGGAACCGATCAGTTCATTGCCGAGACCAAGTCTCCGAAGCCACGCTGATTGAGATGTGCTGCAATAACCTTTCAATCCATATTCTATCCAAGGTTGGCGCGGTAGAAACCCGAACCTAGAAAGAACTCATTCGCCAGGGCGAACAGGTCGAGAATATGATCAAAGGCTTGAGGCCAAGGAGCCTCACCCTAAAAAGAGAGTTGCAAAACCGAGCACACCGAAGAATCCCCCTCGAGCGAGAGGAAAGGAGATCATGGCCGTTGACTCAGCTCTGGCGCTCAAACCAGCCCAAAGGTCGAAACCTAGGCTGTTTGAACAATGTCCTCCAAGGCAATATGACTTCAAGGAAGACCAGGTAGTGGCAACTCTCGACACGCTCCTCAAAAGTAACAGGATTAAGCTGCCGGAAGTAACCAAGCCTGAGGAGGCGAACAAAACTAATGAACCGGGCTACTGCTGGTACCATAGGTTCCTCGGTCACCATACTTCCAAATGCTATATCCTCAAGGATAAGCTTCAAGCCCTATATGATGCAGGAGTTGTAAAAAGGAGAAGGTACAAAAGTAGGTGACCACAAATATGATCACTCTGAGTTTTGGAAAAGATCTCCCAGAGGTTCAAGCGCCAGCGCGGGTAGTTCCTATCCCTAAGGCAATGCTAAAGATAACTAACGATGACCCTCACAATCAACAAGGAAAAGATTTAGTATCCCAAACCTTACTGTCGGTACAAGTTATGTGGGTCCATCTGGACCTCCTCGGTGATGAGCAATGGACTTCAAAGCATTCGAGGAGGACCAAGGGTAAACCTTGCAATGCCATATCCGCTATCCTAGATAAAGGCAAAATGACAGTAGCCATCCTCACCGACTCCGATGAGGATGTAGCCACCCTAGCCACCAGGGTAGGGAGAGAATTCGCCAAGAATTACCCTGCTAGGGCGGAGGAGCCGGTGGGACCCTCCAGGCGGCTACCTGCAGAGACCCCTCCAAATCCCGAAGGGCCTAGCTCGAGTAATCAGCCTTTCAGGTTTAATGTGCTCGCATAGCTAAAGAACATTCCAACCAGAATCACCATGTATGAACTCCTGCGTTTGTCTAGACCTACTCGGGAAGCTCTACAATAGGCATTGGTCGACTCAGAAGTTTTTGCCATGCACTTCTCATCCACAAGGGAAGAAGACACGGGGAAGAATAGCGGGTCCTCTGCATCACGTTCACCCCTGAGGACATGCTAATCAAAAGCACTTCTCACAATCGACCCTTGTACTTCACGGGGTACATCGGTTCCTCCAGAGTAGATCGAATCCAAGTTGACCCAGGATCCGCACTGAGCATTGTCCCCTGGAAGCTTATGCAATACTTGGGGGTCCCCCAGAAGCGTCTTTCCGTGACAACCACGACCATCTTCGGGTTTAACGCCACTAGGATGAGGCCGTTCGGCAAGATCCGCCTAAAGTGCCGTATATGCGACATGAAGATGGAGGTCACCTGCTACGTCATCGATGCTGAGCCTTCCTACAACATGCTACTGGGATGGCCATGGATCCACAACAACCGCATTGTCCCATCCACATTGCACTAATGCTTAAATTACATGGATGATTACGATCGGGTGAAGACAGTAGTTGCCGACAAACAACCCTTCAAAGGAGTCAATAACTACTTCACGGATTCCCTGCTTTACCAAGATTCCGATGAACCACCGATCGAGGAACTCGAGAGCGGTAATAAAGTAGATAGTGAACCTAAATACGGCGATAGCCTTGTCCTGAATGATTTCGAATCAATTGTAATCGGCTACGAAAGCCACAATGTAACCGACGCTATCCAGGCAGAGGATATTATCTGGAATGAGAAGTTCGACTTTGCTTACTTGTCATCTTGCCCGACATCCGAGGATGACCTACCTAACGACCCAATGGCAAGGCTCTATAGTGACCCGTCTCTACACTTTCCTGTATACTCGTCGTATATCGCAAAGAGATAAACGATTGAGTCTTCGCAAGCTGTATTCGTCGTACCCTCCCAAGATAGTTATCAAAAGGATATTATCTTTAGGAGAGTCGATCACCCCCTATGCACATTGTGGGACGAGTCCGAAGAAGAGGAGTCCGCACCCTAGTTTTCGCAATACAGCCAAGTGGCGAAACGCATGATGAAGGATATGGGTTATGACCTCACTCGCCAAAAAGGCCTGAACTACAGCAGAGGACGGAAGATGGTCATCCGACCCACCTACGTACCTAAAGGCAAACCCTCTAACTACTTCACCAAGACTCGAAGAGGATTAGGTTACATTTCTCCCTTGTCGGAATTGTTTTGCAATTTCGGAGAGGACTCCGATGATGCCCGCTCTGAGGATCGGTCATCGACATCCTCAGCATGAGACTCAGACGTCAGCATGGGAGACTTGTTCAACAACCTCACAGTCAATATGGTTGTGACTGATCCTACTAAAATGGCAAAGGATGAGCAAGTCCCGCTTTATAAGAAGACATGGGATCGCCACGTCAATGCTCAGTGGAGTAGTCGCTTCGAGCAGCATGAACCGCCCACCGAGGACAAGATCCTCCAGGTAAACATAGGCGATGAGACCAACCCCAAGCCCATATTTTTCAGCGGTAGTCTACCTCCCCAAGAGAAGGAAGACCTCATAGCCCTCGTACGAGAATATATTGATGTCTTCGCATGGAATTACAAGGACATGCCCGGCCTTGATCCGTAGATCGCCATGCATAGCGTCAACATCGGCTCGGATGCCAAACCTATCAAACAATAGTAGAGACAGTTTCATCCACAAATCATAGAGGTAATCGAGGCTAAAGTGAAGAAGCTGATCGAATCCGGCTTCATCAGACAAGAGCAACACCCTGACTGGGTGGCCAACATTATTCCAGTCCTGAAGAAGAATGGTAAGATTTGCATCTGCATTGACTTCAGAAACCTCAATGCCACTTGCCCAAAGGACGAGTTTCCTCTTCCCATCATGGACGTCAGCATCGATAACACGTGCAGATTTGAGAGGATGTCCTTTATGGATGGGTTTTCAGGGTATAATCAAATCAAGATACACCCTGATGACGAAAAATACACTTCATTCAGGACTCCAATGGGGGTGTACTGCTACATGGTCATGCCTTTCGGACTAAAAAACACCGGTGCAACATATCAACGTGCTATTAGCACTATTTTTTGAGACTATCTACGAAAGACAGTCTAATGCTATGTAGACGACCTGGTCGTAAAAAGTCACAGCAAAGATGACCATCTCCAAGACCTGAGGGTGATGTTCGAACTCATGCGATTTCATCAACTCAAGACAGACGAATCCTACGAAGTCATTCTTAGGGATGTCCTGTAGTAAATTCCTTGGAATCGTAGCCATAACAAAGGGAATCCGAATCGATCTGGATAAGGTACGAGCTATCCAAGAGCTTCAGCCGCCCCGGAATCTCAAGGAATTAAGGGGTCTCCAGGGATGATTGGCTTACATCCGGAGGTTTATTTTAAATCTTTCGGACAAACGTCAACCCTTCTCCAAACTGATGATAAAGGGTATCTCCTTCGCATGGGACGAACCCTGCCAGCGAACCTTTGAAGAGATCAAAGCTTACCTCTCGAACCCACCCGTCTTGGCGGCTCCAATCTCAGGAAAGCCATTCCTCATCTACATATGAGCCATGGAGCACTCTCTGGGCACTCTCTTGGCACAAAATGATGATGACGGCCATGAGCAGGGTATCTACTACCTGAGTAGAACTCTACAGGGCACCGAGCGATGGTACCCTATGGTCGAAAAAGAGTGTTTGGCCTTGGTATTTGCCATCCAAAAGATGTGACATTACCTAGTTGGCCAAACCATCCACGTCATTTCCCAGATGAACCCCATCCGAGTCTTCATGACACAGCCCGCGGCCATAAACTAGCGCTTGGCCAGATGGGCACTCCTATTATCTCAGTACGACATTCACTTTATGTCGTAGAAATCAGTCAAAGGGTAGGTCATCTGCAATCTCATGGCTAGTCATCCGCTGGGGGTGAAAACTGACCTGTTCGAAGATTTGCCGGATGAACCCCCCCGAAGTCAACGTGACCTCCCTAGCGAAAGTTTGGCAGATGTTCTTCGATGGTGCGTCTCGCATCGGCACGAGCAGATCTATTGTTGCAGGAGTGGGGGTGGTCCTCACTTCTCCGCATAATCACGTATTACCCCGATCCTTCTCTTTAATAGAGCCCTGTACCAACAATGTGGATGAGTATAATACGCTACTCATTGGGCTCGAGCTGGAAAGAGAGTTAGAGATAAAGCATCTTGAGGCCTACGGTGACTCTCAGCTCATCGTTAGGCAGATGACGGGAGAATACGAGGTTAGGAACAATGATCTAATCCCGCTTCATAAAGCGGCTATCAAACTAGTTGAGTCATTTGAAAACTTCCGCATTGAGCATGTGCTTCATTCCAAGAACATGCACGCGGACGCCCTCGCATCCTTAGCAGCAAACTTGGCTCAACCGCTAGAGAAGACTCAATGTGTCACTATAGCGAGTCGACGACTCTTTCGACCAGAGGACGTTCTAGAAGCGAACGCTACTCACCAGGATCCGGATCAACTTGACCTGAAAGACTGGCATCTCCCGATCATCGATTACGTCTTATATGGCATGTTATCTGAAGATGCTAAGGAGCGAGAGTCTGTCTGCCGATGTGCCTCAAGGTTCTACTACGACTCGACCATGAAGACATTGTATCATAAGTTGTATGAGAGCTTGTTACTTTGATGTCTTTCAAAGACAGAAGTGCAATAAGCATTACGTGAAGCCCATGATGGTACCTACGGAGCTCACCGGCCCGGACCTAAGCTGTGGGATCGTCTGTGGAGGATAGGCTACTTTGGGCCAGGGATGGTTAGCTATATAGTTGCTTATGCCAAACGATACCACGCATGCCAGATCCATACCAATTACATGCACCGACCTCCTGAAGACCTACATACGATAGCAGCATCATGGCCGTTTGAAGCATGGGGAATGGATATAGTTGGGCCGATATCCCCGCCTTTAGCAAGGGGTCACTGGTTCATTCTGGCAATCACCGACTACTTCTCCAAATGGGCCAAAGCCGTCCCCTTAAGAGAAGTCAAAACCAATAAGGTGATCAAGTTCATCAAACATCACATCATATATCGATACGGTGTACCTCAACGTATCATTCATGACAATGGCACACAATTCGTTAGTCATGCGTTCACCCGGTTCTGTGACAAGTTCAGAATCCATAACCTTTCCTCTACATGCTATAACCCTTCGACGAACGGTTTGGCCGAGGAATTCAACAAAATAATCATTAAGATCCTAACCAAGCTGACTTCCAGTAGCAAACGCGATTAGAACAAGAAGCTTGGCGAGAGATTATGGGCGTATCGCACAACGGTTCGCATGCCGACTAACAATACACCTTACTCATTGGTATATGGCTGCAAGGTCGTATTACCATTAGAGATTCAAATTTCATCCCTCCGTGTCGCCCTGGCGACAGGAATGATGACCGAGGATAATCATCAATGACATCTCGCGGAACTTGAAGCGTTAGATGAAAGGCTGCTTGAAGCCCAACAGCACATTGAGTTCTACCAAGCTCGAATAGCTAAGGCCTTCGACAAGAAAGTCAAGCATTAATCCTTCAAGGAGGGAGAATTGGTACTCACCGTTCGACGACTGATGATTCTCACTTCTAAGAAGAAAGGCAAATTCCAACCCAAATAGGAAGGACCGTTCGTGATAGAGATAGTCTATTCGAACGGAGCTTATCGTCTCGTCAAACTAAATGACAATAAGATCATGATGCCTATCAATGGCAAATTCTTAAAAAAGTACTACCCTTAGTACTACCCTTTCACTCCCATAAGTGCACGAGTCTAAACTGCTCATTTTTCCCTCCAACTGGTACACGAGGCTAAATTATTCCAACTTCATATACTCCGACGTACTCGCGAGTATGAGCCACTGCTTATGGGAAACCCCTATAAGATGCTACATATAGTGTTCTTAGGGATAACCCAGATCCCCATTCGGTCAAACCTTTCGAAGGTTAGGACCAAAGTCGATTATCAAGTTAAACCCCCACCATTGATAGTCGTTTCTCCACCAGTCTCATTCAACTAGACGATGGGTCTCTCGAATCAAGTCATGTTAACTGTTACCTCTGTCCAAAATCAACTTACCAATCCTCTCCAATAGGATGCTAAGCCCACAGGGTTGCTCACATCGCAACAAACAATCAAGTCATGTTACCTATTACCTCTGGCAACATTAACCTACCAATCCCCTCCCATGGGATGATAGGACCTCATAGTTGCTCCGATCGCAACAAGATTCTATCGGGTTAATAATTACCTCTGGTAGAGCAGGCTCCGTCATTCCCACGAATGACACTGTCCGAGTTGTAACCTACCATGCGCGCTTTACTACTCCAGTCGGTCATCACACTCGTACGTCCATAAATGACCCGACCAATCCCGAGCATTCTAATATTCTCTTAGAACAATCGATGGGTAGTAGCCCACCATGCGACAGCTCCTACAATAATCAATCGTCACACTCCTACGTCCCTAAACGATTCGATTATCCTGACATCATCATCTTCGTAAGTGACGATGTTCATTGAGGGCGGCTTGCGAGGTGACATGCTCTAGTCGGACCCCAAACAGCAATTCGCCAAATAGCGGGTCATTGTTGGGACCTTGATTTGGTCGCATGCACAAGCAACCACTCTGTTTGGGTTAAATTGTTAATCTTTAACATCTCAAACCCGCCTGAACTACAACACGAGAGTCGGGGTTAACCCGACTCCACACTACGAACAGCCTAGAGTAGAAGAGAATCTTAGTAATTAAGTCTAACATAAGCTCCTCGACAACTCACTTCACTGGGGGGCAATAGCGTGGCTAGCCCAACTCAAGCAACAGTCGATAAAGACAAGTCAAACACGATGACTATCAAGGATTAACCAAAAGTCCTAAAGCATAGGTCAACGCCAAGGATTAACCAAAAGTCCTAAAGCATAGGTCAACACAGAAAATAAAGAAAGGGCTATGCATGCAAAACAGTAAATAACCAAAAGCATAAGGAGCCATTCCAAGCTAAGTTTAAAAAAAACACATCATGTTTTTAGACAAAGATACAACCAGCATTAGTAAAATTATAGCAGTGCAACAGAAACATTCTAAATTAACTTCAACAGGCTAAAGGTGGTGATCCTAGCCTTAACATCCGCGAGCTCTACCGCGTGCCTAGCTCGGACCTTCTCCTCCTGTCGCTACTGAAGCTTGACGAGGGCAGCCTCACCATCTTCCTCTTCCTGACGAATGATCTGATGCGAATTTGCCGCCGCCTTAGAGATGCGACAGACCTGCACTTTCTCACACTCGAGCTTCATCAGGTTCTCCTCTCCCTCTAGGGACCCTGCGTCCATGAAGAAATTAGCGTCAAGATAGGCATCCATCTTAGCCAGCAAAGCACAATGTTGCTTGCGCAGGCGCTTAAGCTCGGTCTCCTTCTCCAGGATGGGAATGGCCAAAGCTTCGCGCTCGAACAACGCGCTCATCACGAGAGGCGTCATCTCGTCTTTGGGGTCGGTGTGCACCAGCGCCTCCAGGCAGTACATTAAACCCTCCAAGCGATGGAGCTCTTGCTCGCATCGCTGGGCGAGCTGAGGGCCGCCCACGTGTCTGATCTCCTCGAGATGTTCGGCCATGAGGGGGAGCACGTCATAATATCTCCCGACGCCTTGACTAACGATGGTGGCCGACCTGCATAGGTCATCCTCTAACTTTTGAAGGATGGCGAGCATCGGAATAAGGTTCGAAACCACAGACCCTAGGGTCGGGCTGAGAGTGGTGGTCAGCGCCATAGCAGCATCGGCGGCATCGGAGGAAGAAACGACTTCCTTCCCCTTAGGAGCGCATGACTTGGATTCGGAAGCCATTGGTCGGAACGAGAAAGGCTTTGTAAAAACTTTCTTCAGGTGAACTTTCATGAGCGTGAGAACTCTACCAAGAGAATGGCGAGCACATTATATAGCCGAGGGTTCAACGGTTGAGATTCGCTGACTCGAATGTATCGAGCAGCTTAGATCTCCAATGGCATTTCAGATTCGAGGCCCATAAAGGCCTCGACCATTAGGATTCCGAACCAACGGTCTGGGTTAAGCGCGAAAGGCGAGGCGTTCCGTCGCATCATACTTAATGCGAAATAATGCACCGCCTTAGCTGGCAAGCACATGGGACCGCAAGCAAACACACGGTCCGCCTACGCTTGAGTTCGCCTACAGCATGAACTCTCCCATGCTCAAGTTTTGATGGCAGCGTAAACTCGCCTATGTTTGAGTTTCGCTTGTGGCACAAACTCGCCTGCGTTTGAGTTTCGCTTAAAGCATAAACTCGCCTGCATTTGAGTTTCACCTATGGCACAAACTCGCATATGACATAAACTCGCTAGCAATTGAGTTTGCCTATCACATGAGTTAGGAGCTGAATAGCTATACACAACAAAAAAATGAAAGGAAGGTACGCACAACGTCTAAAGGAATCAAGAAGGCGCAAAGTTCATTAGCTGTTTCTAGACAATACATTCGAACAAAGTTATGACTTTACAATCAAGCGAGTCATAGCTGTTTCTAGACAATACATTCGAACAAAGTTATGACTTTACAATCAAGCGAGTCATAACATTACATCCAAGAAACAAAAGATTGAACATGACATCTTGAACCTATTCCTATTCTGCGAGCTTATTCTAGAAGTTTGAAAGACGCAAGCTCAGCTTTGACCGTGACTATCTTCTCCACATGCGTAGCACGAGCTTCGTCATCTGCCTCCTGCCGGACCCTTACCTCGAAAGAAGCATTAGCAGCGGCATCCTCCTGGCACAACATCGGGAGAATACGCCTCTCCCTCGCAAGATCACCGAGCACGGTCTCGCTCTGAATGCGTAGGCCCGTCAAAGTTGATTCCCCCTCGGCATACGAGATCATGCCCAAAAGAATCAAGGAAACGGTAGACTCCATATCAGTTTGCAATAGGTGTTGCCGAATATCCAAACGATTGATAAGGGATTCTTGGTCTTCTATGTTTCGCCTTTGGCACTCTCGCTACCACATTCTGCGACGACGGGCTAAAGCCAAGAACAGCATCACATCGGGCTCCAAATTCGCTTGCCGCAAATTCTCCAACTTTGTTAAAAACAACTCCAGATCGAGGAGTCTCATTGAACAGCGTATGGCGAGCCTATAATCGCCCATATACCAGATGCGGGCCACGTGATCTGAGAGAGACTGTTTTAAGTCCGCGAAGGTACCACGGCCCTGATCGACGAGCAAGATCACCCGCTTTACAATATTCTACAGTTCCTCAACCTGGACCTGCAAATTAGCGGAGTCCGAGGGTTTAGACTCTGGACCATGGTTAGGTACAGGAGCCGAGGAAGAGGCATCGTTCTCCACCTTCTTCGAGATAGATGTCTTTGCTCGTGGTGCCATCCTGAACGAGTAGGGAGTGATGAATATTGTGACCTCTTCAACAAGAAGGGGGAGCGATATATAACGTACGACCCAAGTGCACGCATATCGTTCAACGGCCCAGATCGGGCATAGGGAACGAAGAGCTTCCATCACACTGCCTTTAATGCGAAGTGACGTGCCAGCGTCAGTCCAGCTGACAAGCACGTGAGACCGTGACTGGACATGTGGCTAGCCTAAGTCAGTATTCATCTCGCCTGTGGCT